TTTGGACTTCATCTCAATTATTTGGTCAAGTGATTGACAATCTTGTTGAAACTCTTGGTACGGCAACTCTTGAGCTTGCCCTTGATACTTGTAATTGGGATCCATGATAAAGCAATTTTCCGCCTCATGAGGTCCACCACATATCATGCACCATGAGGGTTGTGGAGTAGGTGGTGTGCATCTTTGATAAGTAGCTTGACTCATGTTGGCACAAAATCCTTGAGTAGATTGTTGAGGGATATGGTTAGTGGGGTTGAGCGTGTAACAATTTTCCACAAAGTGATTCCCACCACAAAATGAGCACCATTGGAGTTGTGATGTTTGATATGAACTTTCTTGATAATATCCTTGACTAGAGTTGGCAAAATTTGAGAAAGGGAATTGTTGTTCCATTCCTCCATATTCTCGATTCATATTCCAACTCATCTCATAACCTTGAGAAGGAGGGTAAAACAGTGGCATGGTTCCTTGGGATGCATATCTATCCATAGACTTAATCACACTCAAAACAATGAACTTGTTATGGGTTAGCAAAATAAAATAAAATAAAATAAAATAAAAATAAAAAAAAAATAAAAATGAACTAGTCTCCTAGAATAAAGATTTCACTAATGTTAATACTAGAAGCACCACCTCCCCGGCAACGGCGCCAATTTGATGCGTAGTATATTTGCAAACAAATAATTCTCGGAGTACGAGTTATCGATCCACAGGGAAGTGATTGTATCAAGCACTAGTTACTAACTTATTCATTAGAGCTAATCCTAACAATTACTTAGATGATTGATTGGCATAAAATAAATAAAATAAAACAGAGGTTCAGGATTTTGAAAACAATTAGAGAGAAGTTGAGATTCATGAGATTCAAGTATTTAATCACCTAGTGCCAATTATCGTTTGCAATATTTAGTTTGGAATTAAGATTTGTGTGGGAATGCAAAGTGGAATCGAATTACTCCCGTAATCTCTATTCCTAGTGAATTTCCACTCCCATGGCTTAAACACCCAATAAGATCAAAGATCAGCATTCAATTATTCCTAATTACTACCATCTCCCGATTGGCAACAATCTAGAATAAACTTCCCCTAATAAGTTCCTCTTTCCCAAGGACCAACCATTAGGTGCAATCGTGTGTGCCCTAATTTATGCCCCAACTCCCATTGGTGACACAAACATGGCTATGAAGCTAGTAACTATGGCCATTAATTACAAGCATCAAACAATATTATCACGATTGCAACACAAGTATTAAACCCAAATAATAATATATTAAAGAAACTGAGAGCTCAGGCACATAGGTTCATAAACACTTTTACCCAAGAATCTCTAAAGAATTTAGCCAAGCATGACTAAATTATACATAGCAAATATAAATAAAGAATTACAAATCATCAAAAGAGTACAAGAATTAACCAGACGATTTTCCCAAATCTCCCTAGTCTTCTTCTTGCTTTCCAAGACAACTTGTGGCTCTTGATTTCTCTCTTCTTGTCTCTAAGAATCTCTGAAAATCTCTCTGTCTCGATCTCTCTTCGTCTGTTTAGGGTTGAGGAAGGAGGGATTTTATAGTGGGTACAAAGTTGAGATGAAATAGGAATCTTGTACCAAATTGGACTCAAATTCCAATTCCTATATTTAAATAAAGAAATTGTCGTTTTTAATGATATTTAGAATTTAGAAGATTCCTTGAATTGCTAACTTTTAATATGGAGATATGAGCCTTGAAGTCCGCGCAATTGATATTAGGAAAAGAAATCTTGCGCTTGTATTGAATTTTGCCCAGCTGCGCCACTTTAGGCGTCTGTTTTTATCCCAGAAATAGACGCCTATTCTCTCAACGCGTCGAGAATTTTCTCCACGCGTCGAGATTTCCTGTGCGCGAATTAGTTAGCTACTGGAAAATTTCGACGCGTCGAGTCCACTGGGCCCCGAACTCATCCAAAATTGCTCCAAACTCATCCTTGAACTTCCCTTGCTCATAGAATTGACCTACAATGGTTCAAAAACACTAACAAACACCGTAAAACATTCAAAACAAGTACGAACCATAATTAAATGATAATAGCAAGGAAAACTTGTATTAAATAAACAACATTAAAGAACTTAATTACTATGATGATTCAAAATAACCATAAAAACAAGCACAGATGTGATAACATCAATTATCAACTGAACTAATGAGTTAAACTCGTGCGGTAGAAAAGACATTTCTAAATATATACTAAAGTTTTACCTGTTCTTTTATTTTGGCTAATAAAATGTTTATCCGTGTAAGATTCATTCATCTCTCTTCACACTCGTGGCTGACAACATAGACTTGGCTTATAGTCATTGAAAAGTTAAAAACATATAATTAATTAATATATACTTGAGAGGGAGTATGCAATTATTGAAGCAGTCCTAATCTTTTATATGCACGCAAACAATTAATTAGTCACGTATTAGCTGATTCAAACCAAACAGATCTATAAATACCCAACCTCTCCCTCTTTCTCTAATCAACACTTTCTCACATTATAACATCTCAGCTTCCATCTTTTCACTGCATATATATATATTCTTCTCTGATCTCCTAAAAATGGCTCTAAGGTTACTTATAGTTGCCATTGCCGTTTTGGCATTGGCATCTTCATTTGCACAAGCATCCGATCCTAGCCCTTTGCAAGATTTTTGCGTCGCTGTTAATGACTCCAAGGCTGCCGGTATGTACCTTAACTTTCACAAACTGCATCTATATTTCGCTTTAATTTCAGTCAACAATGTATGTGACGACTTTTGATTCTTGCATTGCAGTGTTTGTTAACGGAAAGATTTGCAAGAACCCAATGGAAGTTGATGCCAATGATTTCCTCTTCCAAGGTCTTAACAAGCTTGGAAACACATCAAATCCACTTGGATCAGCCGTCTCACCTGTGAATGTCAATAATCTACCCGGACTTAACACACTTGGCATTTCATTAGCTCGTATTGATTTTGAGCCCTACGGCCTCAACCCTCCCCACACCCACCCTCGTGCAACCGAAGTCCTTACAGTCTTGGAAGGCACCCTCTACGTCGGGTTCGTCCTTTCTAATCCGGCGCCAGGAATGAAGAACAAGCTCTTTACCAAGACATTATATCCCGGAGATGTTTTCGTATTCCCACAAGGTCTCATTCATTTCCAATTTAACATCGGACATTCAAAAGCCATTGCTTTTGCTGGCTTGAGCAGTCAAAATCCGGGAGTCATTACTATTGCCAATGCAGTTTTTGGTTCGGATCCCCCAATCAGTCCAAATGTTTTGACTAAAGCATTCCAAGTGGACAAGAATGTGATTAACTACCTCCAATCACAATTCTGGTACAACAACAACTAGTACGTGAACCAAAGCAATGCAAGAGATACTTAAGATCAGATGGATTATTTTCCTTTACTATTACATTGGATACAAAATACATTAGTTTTAATATTTTTTTAAATATGAATAAAGCGAGCGCCTATTTGCGTTCTCATGTTAGAATTATACTTAAACACATATGAATTATTGTATCTTGTTATCTTTTACTTTGAGTAGTGGATTGTAATGGAAATAATGGAATATACTGATGATTGAGTTTTTAATTGGATCTTAACTACTTTGAGTAGTGAGTTGTAGGAGTAAGTCATATTAAAAACTCTAGATCTGATTTTTGAATCCAAATTAATTTCACAGTTATAGAAATACCGGATGTTGTATGTAAAAATATCTGTTTAATATATATATAGTAGCTATATTATTAAATTTACCTTACTCTAATACTAATTGTATTGTCAAGATTAAATATTTATCACTATGTCAAAAGTTAAAATTGATCTATTAATAGTCAACGTCACATTTTAATGGCAGAATGTTAGACAACTAACTTTCCAAAGGATGTGACTGGGCACATGTTATATTTCTTCATGTTAGCGGTATACAAAGGAAATTGTAGGAGCTGGAAACTCGTAGGATCAGATGGAAACAATCAATTGACAATCAAGGAACCATCAGCAAATGGGTGATTGACTATCTATCAAAGTTCTTTAAACTTGAAGAAGAACTCTAACTCATTAAATGATGAAACACAAGCTCCCCTTCCGATGAAGATTAAGTACTCCATGTTTTTATAACATTTTTTTGTGTGTGTGGAAATAGTGCACTGTACTGCCTAAAAATTTATGTACACTGATACTATCTTTTTGTTATAAACAAATTTAATATTTAAATATATTTTTATTTTGAATTTAGATAGTGTGTACATTACTTTGTTGATAATATAGAATAATGTATGGATAACAGGTAAAACAAAATTATAGCAAGATCAAAATAATAAAAATGATTTATATAAATAAAAAAAAAATCATGTCGATCGTTGGTCACAATTCCGACCAACAGACTGGTTGGAATTTCCGTCCAACGGATCAAAGTTGGATGTAAATTCACATCCTAAAATAGTGGGTTACCAACTTACCATCTAGAATTTTCGTCCAACTTTGACCCGTTAGACACGGGTGATTGACAAAGGACACTTCAGAGTGGAATGGAACTTATTGCTGGCGATCCTGAAAATTTTTTATTTTAATGCTCACTAGATCAATTTCTCTTATGATGGAATGCATTTCCACTGTACAGTATAAAATCATAAAAGATGGGGTGAAATACTGTCAACTGAATCAATGAGTTAAACTCGTGCGGACAGGAATGGTATTTCTAAATATATACTAGAGTTTTACATGTTCTTTATTTTGGCTAATAAAATGTCTCCGTGTAAGATTCATTCATCTCTCATCACACTCGTGGCTGACAACACTGACTTGGCTAATTCATACTGTTACTTATAATAATAGCTAATAGTTGAGATCGAATCAAACTAATTTGACTTAGCTTATAGTCATTGAAAAGTTAAAAACATATAATTAATACTTGATGAGGGAGTATGCAATTATTGAAGCAGTCCTAATCTTGTATATGCACGCAACACTTAATTAATTAGTCACGTATTAGCTGATTCAAACCAAACATATCTATAAATACCCACCCCCTCCCTCTTTCTCTAATCAACACTTCCTCACATTATAACATCTCAGCTTCCATCTTTTCACTGCATATATATTCTTCTCTGATCTGCTAAAAATGGCTCTAAGGTTACTTATACTTGCCATTGCCGTTTTGGCATTGACATCTTCATTTGCACAAGCATCCGATCCTAGTCCTTTGCAAGATTTCTGCGTCGCAGTTAATGACTCCAAGGCTGCCGGTATGTACCTTAACTTTCACAAACTGAATCTATATATATTTCCCTTTAATTTAAGTCAACAATGTATGTGACTTTTGTTTCTTGTTGTATTGCAGTGTTTGTTAATGGAAAGATTTGCAAGAACCCAATGGAAGTCAATGCTGATGATTTCCTCTTCCAAGGCCTTAACAAGCCTGGAAATGTATCAAACCCACTCGGATCAGCTGTCTCACCTGTAAATGTTAATAACCTTGCAGGACTAAACACTCTCGGCATCTCACTGGCTCGTATTGATTTTGCACCCTATGGCCTCAATCCTCCTCACACTCACCCTCGTGCAACCGAAGTCCTTACAGTCTTGGAAGGCACCCTCTATGTCGGGTTTGTCCTTTCTAATCCAGCACCAGGAATGAAGAACAAGCTCTTTACCAAGACATTATATCCCGGAGATGTTTTCGTATTCCCACAAGGTCTCATTCATTTCCAATTTAACATCGGACATTCAAAAGCCATTGCTTTTGCTGGCTTGAGCAGTCAAAACCCGGGAGTCATTACTATTGCCAATGCAGTTTTTGGTTCGGATCCCCCAATCAGTCCAAATGTTTTGACTAAAGCATTCCAAGTGGACAAGAATGTGATTAACTACCTCCAATCACAATTCTGGTACAACAACAACTAGTGAACCAAAGCAATGCAAGAGATACTTAAGATCAGATGGATTATTTTCCTTTAATATTACATTGGATACAAAATACATTATTAGTTTTAATATTTTTTAAAATATGAATAAAGAGAGCGCCTATTTGCGTTCTCATGTTAGATTGATACTTAAACACATATGAATTGTATCTTGTTATCTTTTACTTTGAGTAGTGCATTGTAATGGAATAAACTGTTGATTGAGTTTTTAATTGGATCTTAACTACTTTGAGTAGTGCGTTGTAGGAGTAAGTCATATTAAAAACTCTAGATCTGATTTTTGAATCCAAATTAATTTCACAATTATTCTTTCAAAAGGTTGAACCCCAACCCTAAGCACCCCCCACACCCTGGCCCGACAGAACATACCGGATGTTGTATGTAAAAATATCTGTCTAATATATATAGTAGCTATATTATTAAATTTACCTTACTCTAATACCAATTGCAGGATAAATATATTTATCACTATGTCAAAAGTTAAAATTGATTTATTAATAGTCAACGCCACATTTTATTGGCAGAATGTTAGACAACTAACTTTCCAAAGGATGTGACTGGGCACATGTTATTTTTCTTCTTGTTAGCTGTATACAAAGGAAACTTTTAGGAGCTGGAAACTCGTAGGATCAGATGGAAACAATCAATTGACAATCAAGAAGCCATTAGCAAACGGGTTATTGACTATCTATCAAAGTTCTTTAAACTTGAAGAACTCTAGCTCATTAAATGATGAAACACAAGCTCCTTCTTATGAAGATTATGTACTCCATGTTTTTATAACATTTTTTTTTTGTGTATGGAAATAGTGCACTGCCTAAAAATTTATGTACACAATACTATCTTTTTGTTATAAAAAATTTTGATATTTTAATATATTTTTATTTTGAATTTAGATAGTGTGTACATTACTTTATTGATAATATAAAATGTATTGACAACAGGTAAAACAAAATTATAGCAAGATCAAAATAAGAAAAATGATTGATATAAATAAAAAATTTCCTGCCGATCGTTGGTCACAATTTCCGACCAACAGGTTGGTCGGAGTTTTCGTCCAACGGATGAAAGTTGGACGAAAATTCCCATCCTAAAATAGTGGATTACCAACTTACCATGTAGATTTTCTGTCCACTAGGACTATGTGGTTTAATGGTACCCGGGTTGGATTTCCATTTGAAAGATTATGAGTTTGAGCCTCAGTGGAGGCGTTATTGGTTCTTTGTGTTTTAGTAGGTTGAGAAAGTATATGAACACATACTACAATGTAATAGAGCCAGTAACTTTCAAAAAAAATGTAGATTTTCCGTCCACGATCCTGAAATTTTTTTATTTTAATGCTCACTAGATCAATTTCTTTTATGATGGAACGCATTTCCATTGTACAGTATAAAATCATATTGTCAATTGAACCGATGAATTAAACTCGTGCGGACAAAAATGACATTTCTAAATATATACTAGAGTTTTACCTGTTGTTTATTTGGCTAATAAAATGTTTCCGTGTAAGATTCATTCATCTTTCTTCACACTCGTGGCTGACAACATAGACTTGGCTAATTCATACTGTTACTTATAATAATAGCTAATAGTTGAGATCGAATCAAACTAATTGACTTAGCTTATAGTCATTGAAAACTTAAAAACATATAATTAATACTTGATGAGGGAGTATGCAATTATTGAAGCAGTCCTAATCTTGTATATCCACGCAACACTTAATTAGTCACGTATTAGCTTATTCAAACCAAACAGATCGCTATAAATACCCACCCCCTCCCTCTTCCTCTAATCAACACTTCCTCACATTATAACATCTCAGCTTCCTATCTTTTCACTGCATATATATTCTTCTCTGATCTGCTAAAAATGGCTCTAAGGTTACTTATAGTTGCCATTGCCGTTTTGGCATTGGGATCTTCATTTGCACAAGCATCCGATCCTAGCCCTTTGCAAGATTTCTGCGTCGCTGTTAATGACTCCAAGGCTGCCGGTATGTACCTTAACTTTCACAAACTGAATCTATATATATTTCCCTTTAATTTAAGTCAACAATGTATGTGACTTTTGTTTCTTGTTGTATTGCAGTGTTTGTTAATGGAAAGATTTGCAAGAACCCAATGGAAGTCAATGCTGATGATTTCCTCTTCCAAGGCCTTAACAAGCCTGGAAACGTATCAAACCCACTCGGATCAGCTGTCTCACCTGTAAATGTCAATAACCTAGCAGGACTAAACACTCTCGGCATCTCACTGGCTCGTATTGATTTTGCACCATATGGCCTCAACCCTCCTCACACTCACCCTCGTGCAACCGAAGTCCTTACCGTCTTAGAAGGCACCCTCTATGTCGGGTTCGTCCTTTCTAATCCGGCACCCGGAATGAAGAACAAGCTCTTTACCAAGACATTATATCCTGGAGATGTTTTCGTATTCCCAGAAGGTCTCATTCATTTCCAATTCAACATCGGACATTCAAAAGCCATTGCTTTTGCTGGCTTGAGCAGTCAAAATCCAGGAGTCATTACTATTGCAAATGCTGTTTTCGGTTCGAACCCACCAATCAATCCAAATGTTTTGACTAAAGCATTCCAAGTGGACAAGAATGTGATTAACTACCTCCAATCACAATTCTGGTACAACAACAATTAGTGAACCAAAGCTGATACTGAAGAAGGATTTTCCTTCAAATATAACATTAGCATTAATATTTTTTAATATTAATAAAGTTCCCTATTTCTTGGGCCCTCATGTTGGATTGATATTTAAACTTAATTATTGTATCTTGTTATTTTTACTTAATTTGATGATGAGTTGATTGTAATGGAATAAATTAATTGAGTTGTTAAATATTGGTGTGTACATGTGGCTTGTGTATACTTTGCATTTTTTTCACTTTCATTTTATTTATTTATTTATTTTCTCTCAAAAGAATTGCCAAATAATAATAATAATAATAATAATAATAATAATAATAATAATAATAATAATAATAATAATAATAATAATAATAATAATAATTAAATAATTAACATTTACAAATTAAAACGTACACAACCCCAAAGCCAATAAATCTGGAACAACTAAAATTATAATATCGGATACACATATGGTAATTAATTAGCTCATTCAAACACAATTTATCTATAAATAATTAAATACCACTCCCACCCCTCGCTAATCATCACTTCCACAAATTGTTACATCCATTTCAGCTCCCATCTCTTAACTTCATATCCTTTTCTGCAAAAAAGGGTCTTAGATTACTCATAGTTGCCATTGCTGTTTTGGCATTGGCATCTTCATTTGCACAAGCATCGGATCCTAGTCCTTTGCAGGATTTTTGTGTCGCTATTAATGACTCCATGGCTGCGTAGTACGTTTGGACCAATGTCTTGTGTTCTTGACAAAATCTTATTGGAAACGAATTATTGGTTCCAATATAATTGAAATTGGATTAAATAGTTAAATATAAATATTTTTAGCTTTCGTAGAAAAGACGAAATTTTTTACTCTAAGCAAAGAGTACCCAATCATTATTGCGTGGACCGTGGACCAAAAACACAAAGTATATTATGCTAACTCATAAAATACATTATATTATTCTAATGCATAAAGTACATTATTCTAACACGATCATAAAGTACATTATAGATTATTCTAACTCATAAAATACATTCTTCTAACATATAAAGTACATTATTCTAACTCATAAAATACATTATCCTACCCCAGAAATTTCAGTATTCTAACACATATAAAGTACAGTATTCTAACACATAAAATACTTTATTCTAACTCATAAAATGCATTATCTTATCCCAAAATGTTCATTAGTCTAATGGGTAGGCGGAGCAAGAAATTATTTTTTTTCATGTGAGTCCCAATATATGTGTTTACATCAGAATTTTGTACATGAGAGTAAAGGTTAAGAGTTTAAAGTGAGATTATACATAATATTTTTCTTCAAATAATGGTTTATTTGGAGAAGTTAATTATTAGGATTGTGGACCAAAGCCTAGTTACTTAGAGTTTGACACTTTGACCTGTTCTTTGTTTTTGTGTTTTTTTTTTTTCCTAATACTAAACTACTTAATTTGAATTGATACAGAATGTCTGCATAAATAAGATTATATTTATTCAACTTTCTTCACATTCATTGCTGACAATATAGATCGGGCAAATTCATACTGTAATAATGGGTGAGAAAATGAAGATCAAATCAAACTAATTGACTTAACTTAGCTTATAGTGGTTGAAAAGTTAAATATATTGTTGAAGGAGTAGACAATTATTGAAGCAGTCTTAGTCTTCATTGTGCACGCAACACATGATCATTGGCTCATCCAAACCCCAATTATCTATAAATACCCACTCCTCCCTCTTTCTCTAATCATCACTTAGTTTCCACACATTCAAACATCTCATATATATCTTAGCTGCAGCATTTATTTATATTATATTCTTCAATTCTCAATTGAAAATAATGGGTGTTAGATTACTTATCATTGCCACTGCGGTTTTGGCATTGGCATCTTCATTTGCAGAAGCATCAGATCCCAGCCCTTTGCAAGATTTCTGTGTTGCTGTTAATGACTCCAAGGCTGCAGGTGTGTATCCTAAACATCATATCAAATTAAAGAGTAGCTAGCTAGCTTGTGTATATTTAACTTTTCAATCAGTAATAATATAATGTGAATTTTATTTCTTTCTTGCAGTGTTTGTTAATGGAAAGATTTGCAAGAACCCAATGGAAGTTGATGCCAATGATTTCCTCTTCCGAGGTCTTAACAAGCCTGGAAATACATCAAATCCACTTGGATCAGCCGTCTCACCTGTGAATGTCAATAATCTACCCGGACTTAATACACTTGGCATTTCACTAGCTCGTATTGATTTTGAGCCCTACGGCCTCAACCCACCCCACACCCACCCTCGTGCAACCGAAGTCCTCACAGTCTTGGAAGGCACCCTCTATGTTGGATTTGTCCTTTCTAATCCAGCACCAGGAATGAAGAACAAACTCTTCACCAAAGTACTTAACGCAGGCGATGTTTTCGTATTCCCAGAAGGTCTCATTCATTTCCAATTCAACATCGGACATTCAAAAGCCATAGCTTTTGCTGGCCTAAGCAGTCAAAATCCAGGAGTCATTACTATTGCCAATGCTGTTTTCGGATCGGATCCACCAATCAGTCCAAATGTTTTGACTAAAGCATTCCAAGTGGACAAGAATGTGATTAACTACCTCCAATCACAATTCTGGTACAACAACAACAACTAGTACGTGAACCAAAGCAAGATCAGAGATACTTAAGATCAGATGCATTATTTTCCTTTACTATTACATTGGATACAAAATACTACATTAATTTTAATATTTTTTAAAATATGAATAAAGCGAGCGCCTATTTGCGTTCTCATGTTAGATTGATACTTAAACACATATGAATTGTATCTTGTTATCTTTTACTTTGTGTAGTGGATTGTAATGGAATAAAACTGATGATTGAGTATTTAATTGGATCTTAACTTTGAGTAGTGGATTGTAGGAATAAGTCATATTAAAAAACTTAAGATCTGACTTTTGAATCCAAATTAATTTCACAGTAGTTATAAATATACGGGATGTTGTATGTAAAAACATCTATCTAATATATATAGTAGCTATATTCTTTAAGTTTACCTTACTCTAATACTAATTGCATTGTCAGGATTAAATGTTTATCATTAAAACTGATTTATTAATAGTCAAGTCACATTTTAATGACATAATGTTTGACTAATTAACTCTCCAAGTTGCCTCCGCCCCTCAATGGTATCAAACATTCATCAAAATTGGATGTATTGAGATAATTAAAAAGTGAAATATGACAGGAAGAATGGAGAACATCAATTTATTAGTGAGAAGAGATCTGATATTTTACAGCTTTTTTTTTTTTTAATGTGACGACTGATGGTGATACACAGGTACAGGTTAATGTAAGAAGATGGCAAAATGATATATATGATCCTAGTACGAAGTTGCCGGTCCACCAAACATCATATTGCTCTATTCTCAGTAGGCTTCCTGCCCTCCCTGCACAACATAAAATTCGTAAACTTTAATTACTTTGAAAAACATTAAAAAACAATAATAATAACTTCTTATTAATGTTCCTAGTTTAATTAGATAGTATGGGTAGGAGTACGTGTGGGTGTGACCGACCTTGTTAGGAGAAACGAAAGTCACAATTTGGCTTTGGCCTTTGCATTTGGTGATCTTTGCAGCAAATTTGGTACATATTTTTTTATCACCTTTTCTCTAACAAACGTCTCGTATATGAAGGCAGCTCCCCTGAACTGTGGCAGCACCAGCCATGCCACAAATACCAACTTCACATCATACCAAATTGGTATCCTGTACAATCTCAAATCATGTCTTTTTCGAATAAAAGTCAAACTCAATCGAGAATCTGAATTAAATTAAAATGTCACCATTGAAGTATGGGTTGGAAAACCATTTCCACGAGAGTAAGAAAAGAATAGAGAATCCAATAAGCAAGCCACTGCTCATCGTCCAATTTTGATGTGCTCTCTATCGCTACAACTGATGCGTACCTACCAAATATATACCATATATTATATTGCATAGTATAATATGTACGCATATATAATTAATAAATCACCATAAATAAAATTTCAAACATATGATACCGCACTCTAATCAAAACATTTCCAAATTAAGAGTGAAATATCTTGTAAAACAAACATAGGATCATATCATATTATAATAAATATACTATAGGTGGTAGGTAGTACATACAGAGGATAGAGCAAGGTGGTAGCCGGCCTGCAATTTAAGGAAGGAAATTATAAAGTTAGATCGAAATTGAAATGAATGAAATATATATAATAGTAAATAGTAATTACATACATACCCTGCAATGGCATGAAGTTGGGTGATCAAAGTCCATGAACGGCCCATGATGATGGATGGATTCTATCTAAAAGCTAAGGCCTAAGGGATCGGAGATTGAGATGGCCGGAAACACCAAACTGATCTGATGAAGAGGAAACTAATTTAACAGACAATATAAGCAAGCTAGGTCCTAGGTAGATTAATGAGTGAGTATACGTGTGGATTAAGGTAAGCTACTAGCCGATAGCGACATCCAGGTTTTATAGTGGGAGAGGGGGTGGCCATATAGCGACACGCGGCGCTGCAAGCGGCATCAGATTCTCGCCTTAACGTGGAGGTTTCGCACCGCCCACATCAGATCTATGTCTCCCGCCTCCCATTTTAATTTTTACTCTTTCTTATCAAATTTTGATTTTTACATTTTCATTAAGACTCATAAAATGAAGAATTATCACATTACAAAATAAAAAGTAAGAAAATAGAATTAAAAGATACATATTGGATAAGAGCGTACTCCGATCCGTATATAGTTTATCTGTGATTGGGTAAAAGAATTTTGTCTCATTTAAAGGAGTTATTAATTAATTTAATTTAATTGCTTTGTACTTTACCCAAAACCGAAGCCACGTGTTCATGTTCTCTAGCCACAGGGTCGGTGACTCTCCCTCCCTCACACGAATCCCACTTCCTTTCATATTTTACTCATTTACATTCACAAATTATACTCTCATCCCTATTTAAAATCATCCATCTTTAAAAGTTTTATTTTTTTCATTTCCATCAACTTGCTCCCAAACAAAATTTTCATTATTCCATATGACTTTTCAGAGACGGGACAGGTCAAGGTGGGGAGAGATATCTCGATCTCAATCTAACAGAGAATCACACATTCTTCGTCTCTAATTCCGTTCTCGTTTTCTGAAAAAAAAATCATTCTCATCTCTATAAAGACAGAAATCAAGGATTCCTGTCGGAGATCAAGAAATCCCATTAGAACGAAACAAATTGTCAATCCCTAATAAGATGTACAGCGGTCCACGGAATGATTTGCCCTTTGTAAGGTTCATGGTATTGAGTTAGCATAGAGGGTTTTTTATTTTGGGAAGAAAAAGTTGTTGGGCCACCGGTCTGGACAATTGGACCAATGGCACTCTCATTTAGGCTGCCCTCATCTAGGCCATCAAATAGATCGGACTTCAATGTAGTTGTCTGCTGCCTGGTTGACTAAAATATCATATTGCAGATGTACAAAAGACCAGTTAAAAAACACAACCTTAAAAAACTAGTCCAATGTTTCTCCTCTTTCATTCAACTGTTCATCAATGCCTCCTTATAGGAGTGAATAGAGTGCTCGCATAAAGAGCATATTAACAAGTTTCATCATAATTAAACAGGTCTTACTATTTTCATTCCCACTTTTCTGTATATATATTTCTCCAACACCACAGGCTCTTTTTGCCCAGTTCACCCAAATTAAACAGCTAAAAATAGGGGAAAATGGAGTTATGGAGAAAGCAAATAGTCAAACAAGTTCAAACCCTACTGCGAATGCCCAAGTATTTAGTGTGACGTCCTTGAGCAATTATCTTCCCCGTCTCTTTCTTCCTCAATTCCACACTCGCAACACATATCATCTTCCCAACGCGTAATACTTTCGACTCTATCTCGATTTCCTCCTGAAACAGTACATACACTATCATCTAAAACTTTAAAGAATGGCAATTCAATGCATTGTGAAAAGATATGATGTTACAAACGTACATTCTGCTCTTACATAGTAACTGTAAACATTTTGATACAAGGTAAGGTTCTGTTAAACTCTTCTTCTTGTTGAGACTTCAAATTAAAGGCTTTGGTACAGTGCTTCATTAAATCTCCCCCTCTAAGTCATAATACATACTAGCAGAAATAAAGGGTAATTTGGCAAACCACTTCCAAATGGCTAACCCAATGAAGAATAAAGGTAGTTTCTTCTCGGTTCTTGTTTCAGTAATGGCAGAAGATGAATGAATTGGCATCCTATTCCTGGTTATGACCTAAAACTAAAATTTAAAGGTCAAGTCTTTTAGGGCACATGCATTTTCAAAAATAGGAAAAATCAACAATTACACAAATATCTTTGTAACTTTTACAAAGGGTATCAGTCAATGTAATAAAATCAGCCATACTTGAGGAAAATCAAGACACTTTTTACATGAAAAATGCCAACGCGGGAAAAGACTATATGTATCTGAAGAGGATCGACAATAGTACTTGGAAATCACAGGAAAACCAATTTACTCGTATTTCAACTTATACTAGTTCATTTTCCACCTTTTTGAAGGTCATAGAAGGGTAAGGGCCTAAGCAAGGGTACCCTACAGGTGTGCCTCTCATATCCATAAGAGAATTTGCACTGAACAGTAATCACTACTCTACTCAATCAAGGGAATAGACCATAGTGTTATTGGATAGTCAACTATAGTTTATCACATGCCTACTTATCAGACTCCTTGCATATAAATATATAATTTCACTTATCCCTACTCTTCATTGCCAAAAATAAAATGTCCCTCCATTTGAAGGACTCGCTGACTCACATGATACAGTAAAAAAGGTTTAAGTTAGTCACTTAGCAGCATACAACAAGTATCAAAATCCTAAGATTTGAAAATCTGATTTGTAGGTTTGATTACAGGCAACAACACGACACAAGAGAAACAGGGAGCACACAAATTGCTTCTCCAACTCACTCTGCAACTGGCATCCTCACAGCCACAAGTATTGATGATATCACTCCAATCTCTCATCCATCTATCTTTTCTTTTTTGTGGATGACCTCATCTTACTGTTCACTGGCTACTCAGAAAATCAAGAATAATGTAAACAATGAATTATCTATCTGAAGTAGTTTCTTACTAGTCTTTATGCCTCTAATAACAGTCTAGCCTATCAACTAAAGATTTAAAGAACCTTGCTACAATATTCAGAATAAACAAAGAAATCTAGGGCATTATATTTAATACTCCATATTTTGTCTCGAAAAGGGTGGCCAAATGAGTGGAGCCATATTCTGATACTCTCATACTAAAAGTCACAAGTTCAACTCTTAACAATAACCTCTTGGTCAAGCCCGTCACATAGGTTCTGGCGGATCCAGAGGGGACAGTTGCCCCCTTCACAAGTCCCCACCCCTTATATATATATATAGGGGTAACTTATATATGAAAACGTATATATACAAGTTATTAAATATTTAGGTAACTTGGTTGTTTTTAAAAATTAAGAATTCACCCCTAATCGAGGTTTTTCTAGTGAAATTTATTTCCCTCGTGATTCGTGTGCTATTACACAAGGGTTTAGCTGTGTGTAGATATCCATTGTTAAGGATAAACATCAAATGACCAAATGGAGATGCAACTAATGCAAGAAGAGACAGTTGAGAATTAAAAAATAAATTCACAATAAACTATAAACTATAATAAATAAACAGCAAAAGGCAACACCACTCACACCAAGAACAGCAACATCGACAAAGGAAATGTTGATCTCGACGGATACCCCGGAATGAAAAGTCCCCAATTCCGCAGTGTGAAAAACCACCGAAGTCAGAAGGTCAAGCAGCGTCGCCATGGCTCCGCCGTGCAATCTGTTGCCGGCATCCTATCGTAAACGCCCAAAACATTGGCCAATTATATTATTACATCACAGCTCAAACTAATGGGGAAAATGTGAAATTAAAAGAGATAGAAGTGAACCACTAGGCGCGGGGGAACTTTGAGAGAGCAGATAAGGCGGCCGGGCTCAACCAGGTCGACCTTGAGCCCCTGCGCGACAATGGGCTCGATGAATTTGGCAGGCATGGAATCGATTGTGGACTCATTTTCGCCATCTTCGTTCTCCAAGAATCGCTTTACTGATTCCAATAAGTCCATCTTCTTTCCTGGATTTAGCTGAATTTAAAACATCAGAAGAATTCCGCAGTCGTCAGGTTTCAGGTAGAGAAAGGACGTGTTTGACTGCGGTATTCCTTTCTGTAACCACATTCTCGGGAATGACTCTTTCGTTGAGGTTATGAGAATGGAGTCATGGACTCTTACGGGCCAAAAAAGTACTTTTCTCATCTGGTGAGACTCAATTTCTGATTATTCTTTCGTTCACATTTATAACTAGTTGAGCTGACCATCAATTATATTTGTTCACTTTTACTTTATGATGTGATAAATAAGAATAAATTATTTTGTCATGTGAGCCTAAGGGTGTGTTTGAAAAGCAAAAAAATGACTTTTAAAAACTGAATCATTTTTCAAAAAATATTTTCCTTTATAGTGTTTGATTGCATTTCATAAAACTACCTTGGTGTGTTTGAATTGGTTCATTTTTTTGAAAAATGAACAGAATTATGTTTAATTTTAAATATCTAAAATATACAATTATTTTATTATTATTATTATTATTATTATTATTGGCGAAGGGCGACGGTGACAACGAATAGTAGGTTGGTTTGGGAGATGAAATTACCTCCGAAAAATGACTTTTTTTTTAAAAAAAGGGAGAAAGTTGTTTTCCAGAAAAACATCCATATTTTTTATTGACTAGACACTCATTTTTCATTGACTTCTATTTTCTCCTTCTTGTCAAACACTGGGAACCCGAAAAATAATTTTCATAAATTATTTTTTGAATTTCTAAATACACCCTAAGGAGAAAATAGAAATCTATATAATACTTTTCTTCCTTTTTTTTTTTTTTTTTTGGAAACTTTGGAACAATATTATAAGAGTTAAGCCCAATTAAAACTTTTAATTGAATCAAATGATTTAGTCTGTCGTAATTGGCAAACATCTTATACTCAGATGACATGTAGTGACTCTTTCGTATGGGAGGTAATGAGATCGAGGCTCAATGGAGATGGTGCTGACTATTTGTGATTTAACAGATTTGAGAAAGTATAGATGAAGTGATGGAGAGATTAAACTAACAGACCACTAAAATTATTGTTTACGGAGTAACTATTATTAGTCCGTCAATGAAATGAATCTTTCACGAAATCGTCTATATTAATATGTTTTAATTTTCTAATCTGATTTTGTATTTGACTATACCAACTGCATTCCTATTTTGGCATAAAAAATCAATTCAGCAATGTCAAAAATAGAATCATAATTAAGACTCTCTAAATCATTGCTCTCTTCCAAAGAATCATAATTAAGACTCTCTCTCAATCATTGCTCTCTTCCAAATTCTAACTAAATATGTCAGTATTATATTTGATTTTGATACATTATGAATTATGAATAAAGTAATGGGAAAATGATATTTTCTCATAAATTATATGCTTATAGCATTTTTTTTTTTCACATTGATTATTCGCATATCCACATTAGTTCACTCAATTATTTTAAAGGTGATGATTTTTCTCACTTTCTATTAAATATACATTTTTCACCTTTAAAAATAAGGGCAAAACATATATTTCACTTATTTTTCATCTCCAACAAATTATTGTTTATACGTAGGGATCAAAATAAATACGAAAAGAAAACATACACTATTTACAAATATTATAATTATAATTTTAAACTAATGCAAATAAAAAATTAAAAATTAAACACAAATAATCATTAATGCTAATTTAGCATTAATGAATTATTTTTGTTTAATTTTTTTATTTACATTAATTTATAATTATAATTATAATATTTACAAATGATGTCGGTACTTTTTTGCAAGAGAAAAAACAAATGAAATACTTATTTTGTATTTTTTTTTAAATAAAAATGTCTATTTTACAAATTTTTTTTAATCATATTTAAAATAATTGAAAGATTAATGTTGATACATAAATAATTAAAAAAAAAAACATTATAAACATATATAATATAGGGAGGAAAATTGTCATTTTCCCAAAAGGAGGAAAAGGTGGAAAAGAAGGAAAAGTGTGAATTATTATTCCTTGCAGGGATGCAGCGTTAAGTTAATGTCGTTATGGGCATACATCCCGCATGGACGCATGGTACTGGACGTAATTCACGGAATTCACCTCACCGAATTGAATAATTTATTTGGGGTCCGCGGTTTCGCACACAGCCGTCGCCGGTTAAAGACCCCTGGGCTTACGCGTCAAACTCTGCTTTTGCCAAACTTTTTCTCTCTCACAGTCTCACTGCAACTCTCACTCTCTCACTACGACTCTGCTACCTCACCAGCGGCGATCGGCGATCGACGATCTTGCCTGGATAACGCTTTCATTTCGCTGCTTTCGGGTCTCTTCTGGTATCTCCTCCTCGAAACCCTTCCTATTTTTGCCTAGTTCATTTCGCGCAAACAGTGAATAATAGTTTTTTGTTGTTTTACTGAAAATCTGACAATGTGTTGACGATCGGTGTGTTCATTTCTGTGCTCTCGTTTGTGTTAGGGTTGTAGTGGTTTAAGCAGTGAAACTGTGCAAGTGTTACTGATATTTTGTCTTAACCGTGATTGTTTGTGTGCTTGTATGTTCTGTGGGGTTATATCAGTGGGATCGGTTTTCGGTGTTCACGTTTATGCAAGGAAATCAATTTTGGTTCATATGTGGTCGGGGAGATGGAGTTGATTATGTTGTACTAAACTAGTAGTACAAACATGTTGTATTTGAATATTTGATACACGGGGTGGAGGTCAATTTTTGTAATGGACCTGCATTCTAATATTTGAAGTTTGCTTTTCCTTCTGTGTATCATATATGTGATTTCTATATGTCACTTGTTTAGAATTTCATGTGTTGATATTTATTGTCTAATCTCGCAATTAGTTTTCACTGGAATATACATTTCCTAGTATAATACTACTGTTTGACATACGGATGTCTACTAATTGCCCTGCATTATATGCTATCACTACTAATAATTAAGGTTGATGATGTGTGGAATAATTAAAGAAGAGGTATAAGTCATGTTGACTTGGACATTGTTGGTCACATTGCACTGGCTAGGTTCATGAACAACAATTGGAGGATCCGATCAAGCAGAACAAACTTATGCTGTTTATTTGTAATCAAACATGGTCTTTGATTTTTAAGAATGCCTTCTGGGTGTTACTGCAGGAAGATATTCGGATGTGACTTGAGTGGTAAATAGCTATTGCATGTGGAAAATAATACTTATCCATAACCTATGTGGCGCATATTGCTTCTTTTTGTAATGTCATATATGAAGATTTCTGACTTTCTGTGCATCTTTAGTTGGTTACATTCCTTGTTTCTTTATCTATGAAGAATGTCAGCATCACTGGCCCTACTAATTTATTTAACACTTCGGTTGGAATTTAAACAGCAGTTATGTTTTTCCTCTATAAAAGTAAGGTGGGAATTTGTCAGTTGTAATTAGGTGTGTAGGTGAGTTGTAACTTGTGATAAAGTCCACCACTCTAGCTACATTGGCAATTTGGAAAAGATTTACTTATATGTTCTTATGTCTGGTATTTATTGTGTATGCCTTTGATAATTGATTTTACTCAAGTTGGATGGAATAGAAAAAGGTTTGTTGTTTGTAATAACCTAAAACTGCCTTATTCTTGTAACTGATTCATGATATATCCCTGCTGGTACTAATTTTTATTCTGTGCAGTGCAATTGTTTAATGATGAGTTCGACTAAAGGGGGTAAGCAAGCTTCTGGTTCGAGTACCTATCCTTCAGTGCCAGATATGACCGTACATTCAGCACAAGGTGATGGATGGGAGGTTTATGGTAAGAAGTCGAAGAACAAGGCTGGAACCAGTGGGGGGAGACAGTATGTTCCCCAAAACTCTGCTGCTGTTTCCACTGGCAATGCATGGGGAAGTTCAGGTCATAAAGCCTGGAATAATGGTGGGTCAGGAAGGGGTTCTGTCAGCAGTACAGATTCTAGAAGACCTTCAAGTGGAGGTAGAGATAATGCAAGGTTTCCTCCCGCAATTCCACCTCCTCTACAACATGGATGGAATTGGTCTAGTAGAGTAGCCTCAAATCCTTCCTCTGAAGATGGCCTCAGAAAGATTGAAAATAACCAAACCCATCCTGCTGCAGTGGAGACTGTAACTATGAAGAATGAAGAAGAGGAAGATGATGAAGATGAGGATTTGCTCGATGACAGTGATGAAGAGTTTCTTAGTGATGGCTTTGACTCAGATGAAAGCGAAAAGAGTCATGAGACTGCCAAGAAGAATTCCTGGTTCAAAGAGTTCTTTGATAGTATTGACAGTTTGAATAATGAAGAACTTAATGATCCAGAAAGGCAGTGGCACTGTTCTGCTTGCAAAGGGGGTCCTGGTGCTATTGAATGGTTTCGGGGTTTGCAGCCCCTGTTGACACATGCAAAAACACGACGATCTAAGCGTGTTAAATTACATAGAAAACTTTATAAACTATTAGAGGAAGAGCTGCGCAGGAGGGGTACTACTGTTGTGCAAGCAGGTGAACCGTTAGGGAAATGGAACGGGGTCAAAGAAAAAGATTTTGAAATAGTGTGGCCTCCAATGGTCATTATCATGAACACAAGGGATGATAAAGATGATAATGATAAGGTAAAATGATGCTTTGGTACTTCGTTTTTATTAAATTTTATTTAAGTACTATGTATGAAAATCTAACATGTAATGCTCCCAAACCCTTTCTTACTTTTTCCCCTTTGAGTGGCTTTTCTCAGTGGACAGGAATGGGTAATCAAGAACTGCTTGATTACTTCTCTGAATATGCTGCTGTTAGGGCACGGCATTCATATGGCCCACAGGGCCATCGTGGCATGAGCGTTCTGATTTTTGAGGCCTCTGCAGTGGGCTACCTTGAGGCTGAGCGCCTCAGCAAGCATTTTACTGACAATGGAAGAGACAGGGAAGCCTGGCAACGCAACAATATGATATTTTATCAGGGTGGAAAGCGCCAGCTGTTTGGTTACATGGCCACAAAGAAAGATCTAGACGTATTTAACCAGCATTCACAGGGTAGCTTGCATACATTATCTTCCTGCAAGTTTTCTGCTAGATGTAAGAAATATGTGGTGTTTGATAATTTGGTTTCTGCATGATCATTTAGGTAAATCAAAACTGAAGTATGAGATTAGATCTCATCTAGAGACGGTGGTCAATTCAATGAAGCAGATGAATGAGGATAATCAACAGCTAATCTGGTACAAGAACAACGCACAAAAGCACCAGAAAATTGCAAAGGCTGTTAAGGAATCTTTTATTGTGATGGGTGAGAAGTACCGCCAATCTGCAGAAGAAACAAAAATTGTTCGTTCAAAAACGAAAGATCACCATGTGCAGAAAGAGGAGGAGGTATGATCACTTCTTTGGAGCCTCCATCAGAGTCCCACGCATTAATTATTACTGGAGTACTTAATTCATGTTTTTTTGCTGCTGTAAAATGGTAAGATGTTGCTACTTTTGGGATTGCTGTTGCATATGGGCTCTAATGGTCGTAGTAATGTTGTTTAAATTTGAAGTGCATGGACTTTAAAATATTAAATTCTGGAGATTAATTCAATTCCCCTCCAATATAACCTTTGCCAAGAGCTTGCTCGTCTTTGATTTCCCTATTTGGCCTGAGATAAGGGTGAGGCTATTGAATTTTGTTCATTGCATTTGATTGAAGTAGTAATTGATCGTGATCATTTCTGTATTTATGTTTGTGGGGCTAGTCTATTGGTTTCTGTTTCACTTAATAATTGTGGAGTATTTCATCCCCCCTTTTTTCATATTGCCCTATTCTACAATTTCCTTTTTCTTTATATCTTTTTTTTGGCTAAGTATTTCCTTCTCTATGGTAAACATTTTTGCTTTTTATTTCTCTTCAGATTGAGTATTTGGAACATTTAGTTCAGCAAAAGTTCCAAAGCATATTGGAAGTCAAGGACCAGTCAGCTGTTGATAATCAAAGGTAAAATGCTTTATGGAATTTATTTTCTAGGTATTTTTTCAATCAGTACCTTTAGGCATGTGCCTCTCAGGACCTGGACCAGCTTATCTCTAATGTATACAATTTATACACTTGGGATGGGGAGAGCAAATTCTGTAAATACTCCATTTTTTATTTTATTTTATTATCACACTGTTGTGTGTATTGCAATGGAGACTTTCTTGCAAGGTTGTGTTGTAATTGAAAGAAAATTTCATTTTGACATCTTGAATATTTTCTGTATGAGTTTAAATTAATTGATTTGTTGGTTTGGATTTAGGTTTAGGGCCGAGGTGGGAAAATATTTTGAGTCATTGGAGCTGGAAAAGGTGGAACCCATGGAACGCAAGCAACTGCTGATAAAAGCCCACGGTGAATGGGTTAATAAGATGAAACAGAGACACCGTGCAGAAGAGGCTGCGGTGGAGGAGGAATTTAATGCTGCATTAACTAGGTTGCTTGAGATTTGAGAGGAGAGATTTGTAACTAGTTTATACTCTGCAGTTAATAGTTTTGGAACTCCAGAAAATTTTCGTGGAAGTTGAACTATTATATGCTTATGTTATCCGTGACTTGGATTTTGGATTTCTTGCAGCTTTTTTTTTTTTTTTTTTTTTTTTTTCTTTTCTTGTGTGCCACTTTGTTATTCACATTTTGGATTTTGAGCAGCAGAGGAACAGCCCTTTTATGTTAATCAAGCTTGGTTTAGGGGCAAAGTGCTTTGATGCTGCTGCTAAGATGATACTTGTTAACATTGACAAGTTTGTCACTTGCTGGAGAGCATATGCCCTGCCCTTTTATGTATGTGAAATGCCTCTACAGCGTGGATGATCAAAATATGTAGCGTACATATGGACCAGGATGTTTTTTGTCCAAAAGCATTATAAGCTTAATCCTTAGCATGTTGTATATCATATCCTGCTGCCAGCTAGCTTATTGTGTTTGTGTGGAAACTAATGTTGGTCCCAAATGAAGTGAACCATACTTAAGTTTTGGACAGGCAGGATTGAATTATTGATATAGTATTGGCAGGATTGAATTATTGCTAATGGGGGCTCAAACCTAACATGTGTCTGTTAAGAGTGCAATAGCAATAGTACGAGCATCAAATCATCATTTTTGTGACTTCTCAAAATCAATTAAATCCTAAATCGTTAATGGTTAAACTACACATACTCACGTACATAGCATTATAAAGTTTGTGTGACCAAGTATATGGTTGTAACTTGTAAGATTGGTATGGATATGACATATATACCTAATGAATAATTGGAATCAAGTATATGGTTGTAAGATGGTATGATATGACATGTATGAATAATTGGAATCTCATGCATTAGTAACCAATGCAATCATAATAACAATATATGTAATACCACATTAAGTTCGTGACTTAATTATTGTTTAATAATTCATAAAAAATTGTGCATTATTATCTCTTCTTAATCACTAAAGCTAAGAGACCAAGCGGATCAGCGCTAACCACTGCACCACCACCCCACAAATACTATCTCTGTTAGTATAGTGGGCAAGTAAAATTTTTACTTAATGAAATTACACTGATTTTATTTTTTAAATTTTATATCATTAATAAAAACACATTACATAATTTAGTATTTTTAGTAATGAAAGAGTAGTATTGTCCATTTGTATCTAGAAAGAGAACAATCTAGAGAGAGGTAAGGTGCTCATATATAATTTCCAAAGTTTGTCCTTTTTTTTTTTTGGTTGTTATGGAGTAGTGGACTACAGCTATGGTTTGTTTTGTTTGGGATTTGACATCATTGCTTCCACCTCGACCCCATGCATGTTGACTATCCTAAGTTCTTTCACATACATAAATAATAAATTCATAAAATGCATATATACAATATATATTCAAGTTTTTACTACGTATTGATTTACACTATTAATGATAGTATCAAGCAGAATCATGTGTTTTATATCAAAACATATTGAATATATATATATATATATATATATATATATATATATATATATATATATATATATATATATATATATATATATATATATATTTTTTTTTTTTACGACAAAAAAAAAAAAAATTTCATACATTATTTGAAAACTGAGTAACCATGTTCTTTATAATAACACGCAATTAATATAAGAAAATAGCTTTATACCGACAACCACTGCACACCTATAAATTATATTGAATGTATTTTACCTTTATATCGATAGTACTCGATATTAAAAAAAATAACATATATAATTATATCTCTGATATTTTTAACATTGGTATCTGGATATAGATAAATGGTTGACCTTTTAATGATAGTAAAAAGATGGATGAGTACTAACCTGTCAACTATGCACTCCACCAAGCTAAGCTAGCCTGATATGATCTACTAGACCTTTCACTTAATTAATGCACTGAACTTATCATGAAATTCCACCATCTTAATTAATCCATTTCACAACTCACTCACACTCCATCAATCCATTTACAAGCTAAGCTACTTGAAAACTAGAAATTGTATTTATCCTGCATTATGAATTTAATTATATGATATATACTATGCCATATATACTTTTTTTAAAAATAATAATTATATTTTGCTAATTATTTGACAAGTTTCTCTCTTTGGCATGATAGAGACTTGCATGTGCTTGGAGTCCGGCCAACCCCTTCAACAAATTCTTGAGTATGATTGGTTTGGTATCATCGGATAGAGGCAAATTGCTATGATATGGCTACCAATTAGTTATTGACATGTTTCTTCTTTGGGTGTTTTGATAGAAAAAAATAGTTTTTTTTTTTTTTTTTTTGAAATGAATAACTTAATGCATTAAATCAATTGAGAGACAATCAACAAGGAAATGAGGAGGACTGCCAAACCACTCCCCGCAATTAGAAACGGCTTCCCGAGCAACAATGTGGGTAGCACGATTCGTAGATAGATTGCTTAGCAAAACAGAAGTGTACATCATTTATATGGGATGCAACTTCTTTAATATCGTCAAAAAAAAAAAAAAAAAAAAAAAAAAAAAAAAAAACCAAAACTAGAATAAAAAGAGTTTGAACGTAAAGCATGAAAATCTAACTGAGAATTTGTCTCCACATCCACCTCGCCCAATCTTGTACCCTTTAACCAGCTAAGGGCTTCCCGAGATGGTATTATTTAAAATTTTTAAATTATTTATAATCCTCAAAATAAATTCATGGGTGGTCCAATTAGAGGAAGTACACTGCAAAGTGGGATGATGTAAATAAGTACAAGGGATAAAGGCACTGAACATTAGTGAGTGTTGAGAATGTGGCCATGTGGGAGATGATATTTGACTTAAAAGAGGAGGGGAGATTTTTTTTATTTTTATTATTTTTTTTTTCTGAGGGGAGATTAATTACTTAATTTCTCTCATTTTATTGTTCTTTGGTCAAATAAATTCCTTTTTTTTTTTTTTTTGAAAACAATTCCTTTTTTATTTGTTTCTTTTAGATTTTTTTTGTTTAATAATACATTAATGTAATTTTCTATATATACAAATTTAAAAATGGTTAAATAAGCCCTCTAAACGGACCAAATAATGCAATTGAATTCCATAACTAAAAAAAATTCATCGTGACCTTTTTTTTTTTTTAAGTATCGAGACCCTTTAAATCATCAAAAAGTGCATACAAATGCTAATTTTTCATATTTAGTAAGTTACCACTGATTTGGCGCTGACTAGACTTCCACATATGCTATAATTCTGATGTGGTAATAACTTGGTAACTAATGTGGCAATAACTTGACATAATTTTAAAAAATATTAATAAAATTTTGTTTTAAAAATCATAAATTATTAAATAAATAAATAAAAAAAAGGACAAAGACTACTAGCCTCCATTCTGCAAACGAGGGGTTGCCATGGCAGCCCTTATCTCATATTAGATGAGGGTTGCCCCTTGTTTTGCCAGTTTTTTCTTTTTAAAATTTGTTTGAATTTTTAAAATTATATAAGTCATCGCCATATTAGATGTCAAGTAATCGTCACATTAGAATAATAGTACACATAAAAGTCTAGTTAGTGTCAAATCAGTGGTAACCTACTGAATAAGTAAAATTAAGGTTCAAATATACGGAATACCTTTTTTTTTTTTAGTTAGGGACTTAATTACACTATTTGACTTACTTAGGTTTTTATTAGGGTCTGATTTTTAATTGTTTGTTTATTTATTTATTTATTCATCTTTTTTTAAAAAGCAGATTCATCACTGTAAATCACACAAATGAGCACACCACCCACATGATCTTAGTGCTACCATTAGTTCAAAAGGCTGCTCCATCTTCCACTACTTCATTTTTTTAACCTTAACTTGTAACGTGTCCAATAACATGCAATTAACACACATAAAACTTATATTATCATATTGACTTTGTGATTAGTGGACTGATTTATGGACCACTTTTGGACCCTTTTCCTATTTGTGTTTGTATTATTACACCACTCTCATTTTATTTCTTACGGAGTACTTTTTTACATGTTAATTGATTATTAGTTTTAAAAGATAATTCCTTTTTTTTTTCTTTCTCTCACATCCAATCAATGTAGACTACACTGTGTAATTGATTTCACTAGAAGAAGCATATATTTCATGAAAAATGACATTAAAATGAAGATATGCGCAATATTTAAGTTGTATTACATTACTCCCATTTTATTTTCTGAGTCATGACAGGTTGATCGACGAATAGTTTAGAAAGTAGTCCACTCTTTCTCTCTTTTTCTTTCTCTTTTGTCCAATCAAAATAGGCTAGAAGCACATACTTTCAAACAAATAATAAGTGCACTATTAAAGAACTAAAACTTTTGTCACATGTTTAGATTTTATTAGAGAATGAAAAGAAACTGAGTAAATATTGTGACCGTTTTTTTTTTTTTTTTTTTTCCTGAATCAACCAGTAGAATGTCAAAAAAGAGTAAACACTCTGACCCATGTTTTTTTTTAAAATAAAAATCAATTGGTGTCATGTCAAAAAGGAAACGAAAAAAAAAAAAAAGAAAAAAGAAGTAAAAGTATGAATGCATATAATATTACTAATAATTTTTTTTTTTTTTGAAAAGATATTACTCATATTTTAGAGAACACAAATTAAATAGTATTTCAATTATTATCTTCCTATTTTTCTCCTCAAAATGCTTCTTTATGTAAAAGCCAACTCAACTTTCCTTTAACATCTGTACTTACATTATAAATAGCCCCATTCCTGTATAAGTTAGTGTATCTCACCACCTGCAATTAAGTTTCTAATTAACCTCTGAATTTTGTTGCAATAATGGTGAGAGTAAGGCCTGTGAAAGGTGCAGAGATGGGGAAGTATAATAATGTGATAATAATGGTGGTGCTCTTAATGGCTGCAATTGCTAGAGGGCAGTGGACATTTGGAGGAGGAGGAGGAGGAGATGGTTTGAGCATGAATTACTATATGATGAGTTGCCCCTTTGCAGATGGGATTGTTAAGGACATTGTGAACAGGCACTTGCAGTTTGATCCTTCTCTTGCTGCTGCACTTGTTAGAATGCACTTCCATGATTGTTTCATTCAGGTATATATGCTACTCACATCTTTACTTTAAGGTGTCGATGAGTACCAGTATTGATGTTATCTGATATGGTATGATGATAGATCGTAGATAGAAGTTCCCTTATATATATATATATATATACACAAACAATATGCTAATAGGTAATGATGTTTTTGTGTGTGTGTGTGTGTGTGTGTGGTGATTAAAGTGAGATTTGGTTGTTTTCATTCTCTCAAATACTGTCTACTGAACCAGTGAGCTAAGCCTGTGCTGACGGGATTTGGTTGTTTTGGTGTTGTGGATGTAGGGATGTGATGCATCAATCTTGATAGAATCAACAAAGGGAAACAAAGCAGAAAAGGATTCACCTGCAAACTTGAGCTTGAGAGGTTATGAAGTGATTGATGAAGCAAAGGAAGAGGTTGAGAGGCAATGCCCGGGAGTCGTATCTTGTGCTGATATTATAGCCATGGCGGCGAGAGATGCTGTTTTCTTTGTAATACTTTGTTTTTCTACTAAAAAACTAAAAACCCATGCTTTTTATTTTATTTTATTTTATTTTATTTTATATGTTTTCTTGATGAGTGTTGGTTCATGTTTGATTAGTCTGGGGGACCAGTTTATGACATACCTAAAGGAAGAAAGGATGGAAGAAGGTCAAGAATTGAGGACACTAGGAATCTACCATCTCCCACTCTCAACACTTCTGAGCTTATCAAGATGTTTGACCAGCATGGCTTTAGTGCTCAAGAAATGGTGGTTTTGTCTGGTAATTTTTTATTATATATATTTCAAGCCACACAATATACTCATTCTAAAATCAAATTAATTTACAAAGAGATGATTTGTTAGGGGCACACACCCTAGGAGTGGCAAGGTGCTCCTCATTCAAGCACAGACTAAACAACTTCGACACAACTCACGAAGTGGATCCATCGATGGAGGCTCAGTTCGCCCAGACGCTGGCGAGAACGTGCAGTGCGGGCGACACTGCAGAGCAGCCGTTCGACTCGACCAGAAACTCTTTCGACAACGATTACTTCTACGCCTTGATGAGGAGGAACGGCGTTCTCTTCTCCGATCAGACCCTGTATGCCAGCCCCAGAACTAGAGGCTTCGTCAATGGCTACGCCATGAACCAGGCCATGTTCTTCTTCGATTTCCAGCAAGCTATGGTGAAGATGGGAACACTGGATGTCAAAGATGGTTCCAATGGGGAGGTACGAGGTAACTGTCGAGTAATCAATTAGTATAAACAGTCATAGATAGATAGAACCTGTCAACTGTCCCGCTTACATTTTCCTTGTGTAGATACCATGTACTGTTATTTCAACTTTCAACTATGTATTATAGGTAGATGCCCTGTCATGTGTATAGCACAGACCTGAAAAGGAATGCAAAATAAATCACTTTGATAATGTTGTGGCCAGTTCAAGTCTCCAAAATATCATGGGATTTGAAACTACTGATGATTCAATCACAGTTTTTTCATGGTTTTTCTCAATGGTTTCAGTAAAAATGAAAGGAACAAATTAAAAAGAGCATTTAACAAAATGTTTCTACGTTTCAATAGTAAATAAAATTCCAAAATTTGAAGTTCAACTTCTCTTGAGAACCATTGCAACAATCCCTCTATTACCAAAAACAGTAGAATAAACAAGCAATAAAGAAGGATACCAAGAATGCTACCGGGTGACTTGCGTCTTCATGCACCGTCTTTTACCTTTCCTTTTTGTACCTTTCTTCGTTGTAGCACCTGCTGAGGCATAAGTCCTTAATTTCTGAAGAATCTTCCTCTCACTTATACGTAGCACGAGAGAGTGATACAGTTTAGGTTCGCTTAGCTGAGAGCACCTATTCAGCTCTTTGAGATCATTTCTGAGATAATTTGAACCATATAAACTTTCCCGGGCATCTGCTAGTGACAAGAGAGCCAAGCAAACGCTTTCTGTAAGCAATGAATTCTTGTTAAGTTCTGATCCATTTTCCAATGGAACCCCTTGCTTTGATAAAAAGAGTTGCCAAGATTTTTCAACATCACCCATTGTAGACACAGCAAGATCAACTTCACTATATGCTTCTTCTGACAACAACAATATGTAAAGCAAAATTATTAACTCAATTTGTGGCTCCCCATAATATGAGATTTCAAAATATTCAGAGTCTTGACTGACGCATCCAGAATAATCCAACGCTCTCCATAGTGATAACCTCCTCCTACTGTGACGGTATGAGAATCGAGATGAACTCCACTGAAGTACCAGTTCAAGATCTAAGTTCAAAATATCATATGGATTATCTGATTCTGTGAATCCATATCTATGCAGCAACGCAGCATTGCCTAGGGATCCATATGTATTAAATACCTAAAATTAAGAAATCAAGAAATTTAGAGAACTGTGAATCAAATGATCAGGTCAAAAGTTTAGTGGTACATTAAAGTCAAGCCACTCCCTCACACAAGTTTTCAGAGGAGTGGACAATGCAGAGCTCAAGATGAACACAACCTCGACCCAAAGGAGTTTGCCAAGTTGCAAAAAATTAGCAGTTTATTGTTGTGAACTGTTAACACTTGACAGTGACAGTGTGACACTACAAGGGTACTTGACACCATCAACTATAATAGTTCCTATATTCTAGTCATGGTAAATTGAGAATCATTTCTTCTTGTCCTTTTCTGATACATTTTTATTTTCAGAGGAAGTGACACCAGGAGAGGGAAGGGGGTTGGGGGGGTATACTCAAATATTCAATATCTTACCAAATGTATAGACATAGCAGAGGCAAATAGGATCATTATGATTCAGTTTTCATGGAACCTAGGCTATTTAATTCATTTCATTTTTTATTCTCATTTCAGTATTATGTTACCTATGCAGAATAAGGCATATCAAAATGTTGCCAAATGAAAATCAATACTACTCAATCTGAGATGGTGAGAGTGTGAGAACTAACAAATTGCTAACCTCAACTCCAGCTTTGACATTTTTCACCATGATCATTTCCAGAGCTGTAGGATCATTCCCAGACATTGAAGAAGAATCTAAATCACTCCCGCTCAAAGAATCTCCTTCTGAATGTGCATTTTCGCTAATTGGCTCATGGTCACTATTATTCTGATACTCAGTGTTACTATTGTTATCATCTGCGTCACTATCTGATTCAGAATCGGAGGATATGGATGTGAAGTGCACATCCTCAGCACCAGTCTTGTGATTAAAACTGCAGAATGAAACTTTTGATCAAACACTAGATGGCAGCAGAAACTTGAAATGGAGAAGGATAAAGCTTTGAAATTCTAAATCCAATGAAGGCATAAAGGAACAAGATGGCACCAAAAAAAACCATAGCTACTAACATGAGCACTAATAAAATTTCGTGTATATTTCATTCCTCAAGCTTCATAGAAGTAAACTGGACCTAGAGTGAAAGGATTATGACCATTTATCAGCATTCGAGATTAAAACAGAGCAAATATGAATCAAAATAAGGATCTCTTCTATTTGAATGTTCTAAGTCTCAATTAGCTACCATAGTGAGGGAAAATTCGAAGACATATGAAATTTCTAAACCCTGGATTACCAAAGATTTGTGCACCAAACAGATGGTTAAAAGAGTTGCACCAGAGAGCACCAATAAAGGAAATATGAAAAATAATTAGTTATAAACAATACCGATCATATACTCCTTTTTATTAACTCTTTTAAGCAATACATTTGTGGTGAATCTAACCATGAAAAGGGTGCTGAAACAGAGAAAGGTAGAGAAAACATAGACCCAAGAAAGGAATAGAATATGGTTTTATATTAAGGAACAGTTATTACTTTTACCAAGACAGATAACAAAAGGTGAATCGGGAATTTATCCAGCTTATTTGTATCATGAAGCAACAGTGTTTCATGCATCTTCAGCCAGTGATTTCATATTAGCTCCTTGCAGCAGGCAGGTCACATGAATCAGTAACTGCCATTGAATTGGAGATAAAGCTCAAAATTTTAAAAACATGGGGAAAAAAAAAAAAGCAATATTACAAGAATATACATTATAGAAAATAAGTACTCTGTATTATATATGGGCACAATTAAGCAACACAACTGGAGATGTAACTTACAGGTCTGCCAGGGGAACCATCCCAAATCCATGGTAATCATCAATTTGAAATGATCGAGAAGCAATAAGACTTTTTGCCGCAAAATATTCTTCAATACCAAAGCCTTCCAGGTTAAGCCCCAATGAAGCATTGTCCAAAAGAGGTTGGATGCACTCTTTCCAGTCCTCATGGATAAGAACCTTGTCTTCTTTAATTATCTGCCTTCAAGAATACCAGATTACCAGGATGGTCATACATTCTGAAATCTAACACCATACAAGGACTCAAAAGATGCCATGAAGTCAAATTTCATATGACATGAAGAATGATATTTAGTTTCCCAAACACTGAGAAGTGAGACGATAATTTATTCAGTTATAGCCTTGTTTTTTATTTCTGTAACAGATTAAGAGGCAATAAGCAAAGATATTTCCTTGTACGAAATCATAGTGAATTTTCAATTATCATTCAACAACACATAAGACATACATATTCCCAGTATATACAGCCAAATAATATTAATGAAGTTTATCATGCACGCACAGACAAAACTGGAAGAATTTAAATTCACAAAAAAATTAAACCTAAAAACAGCAAAATGGTAAGAAGACCTTGTGGAGCTCAGTGCCAGCGAGAAGAGAGTTGATTTCAGAGAGCGACCAAAGCAAGGGGATAGGCTCAGAATGTGGCAGCAACTGAAGATAACCAAACCAAGGAGAAACCGGGCCGAGACTCCTTTCATACATCAGCGCCACGGCCAGGCCTAAGTAGCCGTCAAGCTCAGCTTCCTCGATCATTTGCCGAGCACCACAAGTTTTTATCGTCAAGCAGCTCTCCTTCGGGATTTTCGCCACCACGTCGCCTTCGTGCAAATCGCACACCGCTCTGATGAAGACGGGGGATTCCGTTGCGACTAGCTCCAAAGCGTCGCTCCACTCTATGCCTTTCGAGTTCATCCATTTTTTGAACGCCCTCATTTTCCTGTTACTATTACATGTTGTCAGATATAGTATATAGTATCAAACGGAATCGCAGTGATATAGACGAAAACACAAAATAAAGTAAAAATGCGCTAGATGAACTGCAGTGGTGGATACCTGGTAGCCATTGCCGCGGCGGAGGCGGCGCAATGTAACTAGGAAGAGTTGTACTGTGACTCTGTGATTGCTCAACTCTGTAGTTCGGGGCGGGAGATTGGAAACGGTCACGGGTCGGACTTTCCAAAATTTACGCAAGACACCCTTAGGATTTCAGAAAATCGCACATTTCTCCCATAGAGGTTTGAAATTCAAAAAAATTTCCTTGGATTATGACATTAGTTTTGGTTGGTCCAACAACTATGAGATCATTTTCATATTAAGTTTGCGACTTTAACTTTTCTATGGATTTCTAAATCCTTGTCATTTCTTCGGCCTAATGTTTAGTAATCAACAATTTATTTTAAAAGCGCAAAATTGTAATTTTTCATTACTTCTCCATAAGGGAAACCGAAAATGACAATTTTCTATTCAAAATAAGTAACTTGACTAAAATTTGGTCACATCGAAAATTAGGTTGGAGGTGAAAATAATTCCATACTTGTAGGATGAAAAGTGAAAACTCATTATGAATAACAAAATGCTACTTTGATACTAAAATAGAAGTTAAACATACAATGTTGATAACATGTACCATCAGTATATACTACAAAAACCAAAAGATAGAAGATAAATAATACCCATTGATCACAAATTCAAACTAACTACAAAGTATGACAAACTGCAGTATATGGAAGGAAGTTGGGAACTGATGTAATCATAGAATCTCTCAAGAAGCTGAATTCGAGGATGCGGTGAACTTCCCACGCAGCCACACCAATCGCCTCTCGTTCTTAAGAGATACGAATGTTTCTCTTGCATTTGGATTCTCGAATAAATCCAGTGCATAGAAGTAGAGGTTTTGATCAACCCCTTGTATCTCATCTAGTATTTTTATGCATTTGCTTATAGCAAACCGCTCCTCGTTTCTCATAGTTGCGGCCGCCCTCATCTTTGAAGCCGCTGCAATTTCAAGCATCGCGTCCACTATAGCATCGCCAGTCGCCTTGCGGCTTCTCTTGCGGCGACCTGAATTTAGTGCTCCAGACCGATGTTTACCATGTCCATCTAACATGTTCATGTCATCAGCAGAGCCTGAAGAACCATCCTCGTCTACAAAGGTGGGATCAGCCGACATGTTGATACTGTCTGTTTGTAAATATATTACCGAGTATTTATGTTTCCAGTTCTCGATTCAAGGTAACAAGTATAACCCACAGAGTAAAAGCCTAATAACACAGTCCAGCAGAAACTAGAGCACCAGAAAATATAACTTACACCTGAAACACAGAAGACAAAGAAAGGGGTTGTTAGCTTTCATTAGGAAACAAGTCAGAGGATTGCAAAGGTATAGGTTTTCAATTATTAAAAAAAATAGGGTAATCTGAAAAGCTTCTGTTGATATTCATTTTTTTTAGTACTACTGACTCTATTAGAATGCAGTACATGTTCATAACTACTTTCTCAACCTACTGAAGCACAAAGAATCAATATCGCCCCACTGAGGCTCGATATTAACTAATAATTAAAAAAGAGTTAATGCCATCTAGGGTCCTTCGAATATAGTGGTTTTTCCACCATTGGTTCTAAACTTAAAAGTTAACCACCCGCGACCCTTTAACTTTCAAATTTTAATCCGTCGAGGTCCTTTTAGAAGTAAAGTAAGGGCAAAGTCGTCCTTATAGAAGGACCACAATTGGTTAAAATTTGAAAGTTGAAGGATCATGACTAGTTAAAATTTGAAAGTTGAAGGACCATAGGTGGTTAACTTGAAAGTTGAAGGATCAATGGTGGTTAACTTGAAAGTTTAGGACAAAGCCTAGCAAAACCACTATATTCAGAGGACCTCAGATGGCATTAACTCATTAAAAAGAAGAACCATACATTCAACTCATTGCCGGTGGACATTTGGTAAAGCACACACCTTAAAACTTACAATGAGCGACTTAATTAGTGACATTAGGTCAGCATAAGTCTGGACCGACAAGTCCTTGTATATTGAAGTCAGGGAAACCAGCATATGTAGTTTAGTTGATCAGATCTAAAGAGTAAATTGGATGATGTGATTAACCCAGGTCCCGGGGAAATAACACCTCCCTTCCCCCTAAGGATTTATGGTACGGGAATTGCAAGCATTTGACCTTACTTCTTTGGAATGAACTGAATGAATAAAGGATTGCCTATTCATCTTAAACCCTGGCGTGAATATGTTAAGCCTCAAATTCATACACAAAATATCAACTTAGCAGTTAGCACTCAACTTACTTCGGGATTAAGCTGTGCATTGACACCACAAAATACTAACACAAACAATCACAATAATTATTCACCAATCACCTAGTAACCCCAAACTATTAGTAATTTTATCAGAGTACACCAAACCACAAAGGTTATCAATTTACATAATAGTCTATATCCCCTTGTGTGCAGAGTGTACAGTAGGGGTGGGAACCAGGGGCCAACTGCTCCTCTAGGGTAGGGGCTCTGGGGCTTAAGATTAGTCTAGAAGTCTATATCTTGACTTCAAAAATGGAGGCACCAATTTCTGACATAAAGTACTTAGTGCAGAACTATTTGTCAGCATTGCAGCAAAATGGGAAATTGCATACATCCGGGTGGAAAACAAACCCAAAAATGTTAATATATGCTAAAACGATCACAAATTCAAACAGTCAATTTCACGATATAAGCACAATGAACCAAAGAAAATGCGCATTCAAAACATTAAGGGAATTAAAAATGGTAAATCAAGGCCTGACAATCGCATAAAGCAATTAAAATGTTGTGTATTTACACCACGGGAAAGTGCTGATTCACATTAAACAGCATATAACCCTAATCCGGAAGAGAGATTAAAACTTTTTAAAAAACATGAGGCGAAAAGAGAGGGAGAACACAAACAAGATTGTCGTAACACATAAAGAATGGAAGAAAGGGGGGATTTGCATTTACCTGAAAAACGAAGGGAATCGAGAGTTGGAGAAAGCGAATAGCGGTTTAGGGGTTTGGGAGAGGGTTTAAAGAAAGTGGCCGTCGGGAGAGTATACCTGCGGCGTTGCTGCCGCGTGATTCTGTGCCGGAAACTAATAAAATAAAGACCTCCTATCTTCTTCTTCTTTTTTGTTTTGTTTTTTTTTTTCGGAATGTTCGGCCCACAAGTCCACGAGACGCAAATTATTTGTGGACTCGGGTCCATATTCCAAGACCTATATTCAAATGTTTACAATTTATCTTTTAAAAATTTATAATTTGTATATTACAAATACACAAGATTAATATATATGTAATTGATTATCTTATTTTGTATTCACAAGTTTTATTCAAATACTACAGTCGAACAATATTAACAAATTGTATTCGCAAATTCTCTTCTATAGTTGTTATGTGTTTTGACTTAGAAACATAATTTACATTCTAAAAGTATATAATTCGAATACTAAAAATACACAATTTATATGTCGTTTAGAACTAGAGTCCACTTTACAAGATAGACACTGATCCATGGTATAACAACTCTCCACGAGATTACTCATAAATTAAATTTTGGCCATTTGAATACTCAACAGTTGAAGGTCGTTGAAAATTAAGATGAAAAATATGAAATTCTTTTTTATAAATATTAATAACTTTTAATAATTATAAAATTGACCTTATATTTTTTTTATTAAAATCATCAACCATTAATCACCCTGTTGGACTGCAGAAATCATTCACCAATTTTTAAATGAGTACTTTGTTCTTAATTGATCCGGCCCATACAAATACAATTATAAAATAGAGTTAATTCCACCGAAGTTTATTGTCTTTGGTGACAATTCCAAATTAAGTTTCAAACTATCATTTTTTGCCGTTTAACATCCAATACTATCAATTTTTGAACGATTTTAGTCCTTGCGATGACTTCTTCGTTTTTTAGTAAAAGTACTCCGCAAAAAGTATTCCGCAATAACTACTTTTGCCTCAATTATATTCATCCACAAATTAAAAGATCAGATGGCAGTATTGGGCAGAAAGATTCAGAATTTCATGAAGAACAAGTTTCACTGGAACACTACGCATGGCGGCGCCGGAGTTCCCAAGGGGCACGTCATCGTCAACGTCGGCGAAGAGGAAAAGGAATACTTGCTTCGAGATTATGAACAAAATATCATAATGTTTAAATATGTAATAGCACCAGCACGCATGATCAAATTAAAGCCACAGATAGAGATAACACTCTTAATTATTGCTTAATTCTTTATTACAACTTAATTTATTCTGGAACTCGCTTAACTATTCTGTTAAGCCTGGATTCCGACAAACTTTATTCCTTGAGATTCACGAACACTTGATGTTCCTCAAAACTTTACGGATAAGAATCTCCGTCATGCGAAGATAACTCTTATCGGTGAGATGAATGCCATCCCAGTGCACATACTGTGCCGGGTTTGAACAGGCCGAAACGCCGTCAGATCCGCACGTTTTCGAGCCGTCAAAGTTATATCGCCCTCCGGTTCCGCAGCACGCTTTGAGTAACGATTCGTTGTTGAATCCCCGCCGGAGAACCGACCGGAGAGCACCGTAGTAATCCCCGTAGACGATCATAATGTCGCCGGAGACGGTGGACAGCTCTCGGCTAAGTTTCGAGAGAGCTTTTTTGAGATAGCTGTTGTGATAGGAAGAGAAATCGTTGAGGGTTTTCAGGCAGCCCAGCTCGTCGTAGGATTTCGGGTCGGAGCTTGGGAAGTTGGTAAGGTAAACGGGCAGGCACCCGAAAGGTAAAGTACCCGGAACCACGACCCGTTTAGCTCCGTGTTTAACGATGTGTTTAATGCCGTTAATAACGGCGTCGACGGTGTACGGAACGTAAGTCTTGGTCTCCTCGAGGGATTTCCCTTTGGAGAGGGCGTTGTAATAGTCGTTGCCGCCAAATTCTCCAAATATAAAAAGGGCATTTCGGACCTTTTCCGCACATTCACGACCGCCGGCGCCGCCGCACGTGGCGTTGAGGTGTGCATGGAACCACCGGAGTTGGGCGCTGATCGGAGTGTTGAACGACGGCATGCTAATGTTTCTCCCGGCGAAGAAAGAGTTGTCGAGCGCCGTGCCGCCGGCGACGGCGAAGTTGGCGCCATGGGCGAATGAACCGTTGGTGTCGAGGTAAGCGTCGACGAAGGGAAGCTTAAGAGCGGCGGCGACGTAGTCCACAATAAGGCGGCCGTCGCTGAAGCGGCCAGTGGGCTTACCGAAGTAGGTCTGGCCGTAAGGGTGGCGGTCGGCGTGGAAACTCATGGTGGCGCCGGGAATGCGGAATAAGTTTCCGGTATCGGCGAGGGAATCGCCGAACTGATAGATGGATTTGAAAGAGCATTGAGTTAAGGGGTTTGCAGTAGCGTAAGAGACAGGGAAGAAGAAGAGAGCTGTTAAAAGGAAGAAAGAAGCCATTGGCGGATGAATGTGTTGAATAGTGAAGATATGCATGGTCACTTATATAGGAATTGAACCTAACTACTATGTAAAGTGTTAATGGTACTCTATTACAGCTTGCCAACTTTTGTTTTGTTTATTTAATCATTATTCCAAAAGGCTGAACCCCAACCCTAAGGGTCCCCACACCCCGGCCCGACAAATCATTTGGGAGGATGTAAATCATGGTGACTCAATGCTCACTGCGCACAAGAAGCCCCCTCACTTTGAGAGGTTACTCCCACACTGCCGCTGGTGAGACTCGATCCCTGGTCATTATTCTAAAGTTTCACCTCTATGTTTATTTAATCATAATAGTATTGAATTTCGTGGAGAGCTTTGAAGGCATTACTATATGGCTATATACAAATATATACATCATTATGGAGTGGGGTGTTGGTGGGATGAAAAATTAAACTACTTTATAATATATATATATATATATATATATATATATATATATATAGTCAGATTTCCGTGCGGTCATGCACCTACGCATTAATGCACCACAAAGTATTCAAAAATATACTTTGACTCTCCACAAGCAAAGCCTCCTTCTTCGCCACCATTTCTTCGCTTTCTGCTCTACTGGAGAAGGCGCCCTTTTTGGTCGCCTTCTGCTTTGCTGGAGAGGGCAACCATATTTGATCGCCTTCTCATCAAGCAGGGTCATCGGAGCAGAAGGCGACCATTTTGGTCGCATTCTCAAGCAATGTTGCCGAATTTTGGTCGGTGGGTCGGAACCATAGTGACATGCGTCACTAATCGATTTTTGGGTTTCAGTGTACCAAGATAACATCTTAATGAATTTAATTCTAATTTTTAAAAATTTACGAATTTAATTAACTTTTCGAGTAAAGTTTATGTGCATATTTTACCTTTTTCCCCACTTAAAATTATAAAAGTAGCCACTTATGTATGGAAAAGGTGCATGTCTGAATTCCCCCATCAACCCATGTGACGTGCAACTTTTTGTTAATGTTTTTTTTTTAATGCCAAGTTTACTATTTAATTAGGACGTACGCATTTAGTTGAGGGGATGTGATTGATATTATATTATGTAATTACACTGTTCTTCAAAAGGTAATATGGAATCATGACAACGATTACTTTGAACTTTATGTTTAGTTATTAGTTACTACGATGATGGGGGATGTAATATTATTTGCATGTGTGTTTTTCAATAAATGTTGAAATTTATTGATATATAGGAGTATAATTATATTGTATAAAGGCAAAGTTAAAATATTGAAAATTATTGTTATATCGCTTGCATGCCGGCCAACTTTTGTTTTGTTTATTTAATCATAATGGTATTCTTATGGTATATGTGAATCTCGTGGAGAGCTTTGAAGGCATTACTATATGTCCATGTACAAATATATACATCACTATGCGGGTACGTGGGGGTGTTGATGGGGTGAAAAATTAAATTACTTTTTTTTTTTTTTGTCAGATTACAAGGTGTCCTGAATAGCCCCTAAGTGTAGGAGTACCTTTAAGCCAGTACCATAATATATTATAGAAAATATATGATAAATTATATATTAGTTCTATTGATAATTTGATATATATTTAAAATTGACTCGAATAATCGATCTTTGACAATAATATTATATATATCAAATGTACTACTAGTTAATTGAAGTGCATTGCACACTTATATTAAATCAATGGCTAATGATAAAAGAAATTATAAAGTTACATAATCAAATTAAATATAAAACTATTATAGTTTTATTAAGTTGTTAATCTATTTATAAGTTTATATTTAATGGTCATATTTTATTTTAACAAAATATTTGTACACTATATTAATTATGTGTACTTGAATAATAAATTACATACTTCATTTTTTTTTTTTTTTGAAACCCAATGAAAAATAAAATAAGGAAAAAATAAATCCTTTTAAACTATCACATGCAAGATATAAGCTAAAAGTTTATATATAAAAGTTTTCAAAAAATATATATATACCAACACAATAAAAATTATGCAATTAAAATATACCAATTACAAAATAAAATTCAACACAACTCATAGAAAGAAAAAAAAAAAAAAACATATCCTTAGACAATTGAAAATGGCGTAGACAAAACTAAGAAGAGAAGTTATAAATTAGAAAGTATTTGTAAAAGTACAAGAAACAAGGCCTAATGTATAAGTTATCAATGCTACCAATTATAATAATAATATAATTTTCATTCAAATAATAACTTAAGGGCCAGATAGTTAAGAAAAAAAATTTAAAAGATGGCGGAAAAATTAAAAATAATGTGCAGGTATTAGTATAAGAAAGAAAAAGAAAGTATAATGCACAAGTTATTAATGCAATTTATTACGGAGTACATCAATATAATTTGTATTTCTCTTATAACCCTATAACATTATTAACTTTTATTATATTGAGTAGATATAAATGTCCTTTTTTCAATATCCAGTTCATTTTTTTTATTCTTCCCTAAATATTACTTGCTGAACCATTAAACTATGTTTATGCCAGAAATTTATTATTTTTCATTGTCTGGGACATACACGTACAACCAATTTAAAGTTACACTGACCAAACTTTATTCTTAGCAAATTAAAAAAAAAAAAAAAAAAAAAGTACGTAAATATAAAAATACCGGATTATTTGCACTTACGCATAAACTAATTAACATAGATATATAGGATTTGGATTGTATTGTTGATTATTATATCTTCAACAACAACATCCATGGAGCCACGTACACCGCTTGATCAGATCATCATCATCATCGGCTACCTTCGCTTCATGCGCACGTAATCTTCCTTAACACTTGATCAATCAGAATCTCCGACATACGATGATTGGTTTCATCGGTGGGATGGAAGCCGTCCCAGTTCACGGACCGGGCCGGGTTCGAGCAAACCGGAACGTTGCCGGAGCCGCACATTTTCTTGGCGTCGAAGTTATACACTCCTCCGGCTCCGCAGCAGGCTTTCAGTAACGACCCGCTGTCGAACCCGAGAGAGGATGCTTGCCGGAGAACTGACCGGAAAGCGCCGTAGTAATCGCCGTAGACTACGACGGCGTCGCTGGGGAGTTCTTTGCTGAGCAACGAGAGAGCTTTCATCAAGTAGGTGTTGTGGTAGGAGGAGAGGTCGTTGAGGCTTTTCAGGCAACCCAGGTCGTCGTAAGCTTTCGGGTCGGAGCTCCGGAAGGCAGTGAGGTAAACGGGCAGGCACCCGAATGGGATGGTACCCGGGACAATGACCCGTTTGGCGCCGGATTTAACGATGTCTCTGACGCCGTTAATAACGGCGTCGACGGCGTACGGGACGTAGGCTCTGGTATCGTGGACGGATTTACGTTGGGCAAGGGCGTTGTAATAGTCGTCGTGGCCGAATTCCCCGAAGATGAAAAGGGCATTTCTGACCTTTTGCGCGCAGGCGGAGGGAGTGTGGCACGTGGCGTTCAGGTGCGCGTGGTACCACTTGAGTTGGGCGCTGATCGGAACGTTGTACGCCGGCGCGTTAATGTGTCTCTGGGAAAAAAAACTACTGTCGAGCGCCGTGGCTCCGGCGACGGCGAAGTTAACGCCGTGAACGAACGAAGCCGAGTTGTCGAGGTAAGGAGCGAGGAAAGGAAGCTTGAGAGCAAAGGCTATGTAGTCGACAATGAGACGGCCGTCGGAGAAGCGGCCGGTGGGTTTCCGGAAGTAGGTCCGGCCATAGGGATGGCGGTCGGCGTGGAAACTGGTAGTGACACCGGAAATGCGCAGAAAGTTTCCGGTGTCGGAGAAGGAATCGCCAAACTGGTAAATGGATTTGAAAGGGCATAGAGAAGGGGTGTTTGTTATGGTGGTTGTGTTGATATTAGCATAGGCAAAAGGCAAGAGAAGGAGACATGCTACGAAGAAGAAAGAAGAAGAAGCCATTGTTTCAGGGAGGGAGATCTTATGACAGTGGCATTCGATGTAGAGAGTCTTTGAGTTGAGGCCTTGAGGGTTGGTATATATATATAGCATGCATATATGATCTATATCATATCGATAGGGAAGATGATAAATATACACGTGGCCGGGATAGATCAAATGAGAACCACTATTTCTATATGAATATGTCAATTGCACAATAAAATATAATAAGTTCACATTTCTAAAATTACAATGCATAATTAAGTATTAGAAGGTGCGCAATCATAATTATAAAAATGTGTATTTTTAAAATGTACAATCTCATAATGAAATTGATATAACAAATATTCAGATGTCTTGTGGTACACTAGGTTTTGAAATTCTTATTAGGCAACTACAATGATCTTTCTTCGTAAAGATGAGGTCAGTATTTGGAGTGTAGGATATTCGGAGGTGTTCGAGGATGTGATCAGAGTTCAAAGTCCTCCGCTAGCAATTAATAGGCCTTTTATAGGTGAGGGCGTCAGGCTAACATGTCAGGTTACCAGCATGTCTTACACTTGACGGTTATAATTAATGGGAAAAGGTAATGGAAAGTGACGAGACATGATATGACTGATTGTTTAATTTTCACTCGGGGAATGCCTTTGAGGCAGTTTACGGGGAAAGAGGCTCAACAACAGATCGGATCAAAAGGCTTCCCGATCGACCAAGTCTGATCGGAAGTGGTCGGTGCAGCATAAATATATGAGGGAATTAATTGGGTGTGTTATGAGGTCGGGAAGTCTAATGGGTTGGTAAGGTAAGCAGTGGTCGGAAATGGGTCAGATACGACCAGGGTGATAGAGATACGCTTAGTCGTACTAGTGTGTTCCTTATTAGAAATATTAGTGTTTTTTATGCGGGATGCGCAAAAATATATGCTCAATATTTATATTTTTAAAAATAACTAACAAATTCGTACTAATTAAAATCTATATGAAATCAAATTTATTTATTATATTAATTCAATATATAATGTCTACAAATATTATTATCATAAAAAAATATATGGTGGATGCATGTGCACGGTAACCATAATGAAAAAGATAACGGAAGTTATAATAACAGAGATATTTTTGTCTAAAAAATTATATAGTACAACTCTAAAACCCAAGGTATACAATGATTAGCATTAAAAACAAGGAAAAAAATTATGAATATAATTTTGATTGAGACTTATTTGCAGGTTAGGGGTGATTGTCATTTCATCTATCACATACACGTATATGTAAAGAGTGTGTAACCATTGACACCGAAACCAGGCGTTTGATTCAGAACAGCGGCCACGTGGTAACCCGAGACGATGATGATTCTTCTTCTACATCGTTCAATTCGTTTTAGCGTGAATGGCTGCTTCGAGACGGCATCTCTTGGTGTTTTTCTTTCATGGTCTGATCTGATCAATGTATGTATATGTTTTTGTGTCTTTTTGTATTTCATGCATATTCTGGGGTCCGGGTTGGAAAGATGAGATGTTTAAAGATATATAGAATAAAGCTAAGAATATATGCAACTCGTGAACATGATTTGGACATACATGCAGGCTTTCAGCTGCTTCGACAGAACAGATGGTGAAGGAAAGGAGGAGGTGGAAACAACCCAATTCTTACAACAACAAAAATAATTATTACTAAGGTTGTTGGATACACTAATTTAATATATTTATTAAATTAAAATATCCCCTTTTAAAAAAAAAAATTGCTTTAAAGTTTATTATTGGGAAAAGGGTCAAATACACCATCCAACTTTAGGTAAGAAGTCAATTAGGTCCTAAAACTTTTGGAATGTGCAATTAGACACATTAACATGTGAATTTAGTGCATCAAGGCCCAAACACCTAATAGTGACTTGCAATAACAAGTCAATAATACACCGGCGGAACTCCGGTGACTTTCCGGCGAACGCATGCCCAGCAAATCGCCGGAACGCCACCCTCAACCACCGCTGCTCCAGAATTTGCAAACATTGTTGGTTGTTAAGTAATGAGTTCGGAGTTGATCTACAGAGGACAAGAGGCGCAGCCGGTGATGGACGGTTAATGGTTTCGGGGTCGGCGGAGTGGCACCGCACATTAAAACGGCGTCGTTTTATTTAATGAAAAGAAACGGAATCCGTTTCGCGCCTTTCCGCAAAAAATAACTCTGTTCTTTAGTTTCATTTTGTATATACTGCAGTTTCATTTCGATATAACTACAGTTCCATTCAATATTTATAACTCAAATATGTGAAAATGTTATTTAATTTTATTTTATATAGACTATAGTTCCATTAAAACACAACTACATGATTATTTCGATATAATTACAGCTTCATTGTACAATATACACTCAAATATGTGAAATGTTATTCAGTTTCATTTTATATATACTGCAGTTTCATTTCACCACAACTACAGTATCATTTTGATATAACTGCAATTTCATTTGATAATATAAAAATAATACGTGAGGCAGTGTCGATTTAGATACACCGTAGTATCACTCCGTTAACACTAACAACGCACTATTTTAATACGCGGTGCATAATCAATTATACATCGCGGTCCATGATATAACGACTGTGCACACGGTTGCACAACATAATTTATAGTTCCTATCGCACATGGTCAAAGTTGGGCCATGTCCTGGTGAGGTTAGCCCAAGGGAATTGAGGACAGTTGTTATATTATAGACCGGCCCATATACGGCGCCGTTTCTTTAAGTAAAGAAACGGCCCGCCGTTAGAGTTAACGGAGTCCGTTTGTTTGGTGTATTAAACACCAACTGACACTACAGTATATCCAAACCGACACTGCAGTTATATCAAAATGATACTGTAGTTAGAGTGAAATGAAACTGCAGTGTATATAAACTGAAACTGAATAAAATTTCACATATTTGAGTGTATATTGTACAATGAAGCTGTAATTATATCAAAATGATCATGTAGTTATGTTTTAATAAAACTATAGTGTATATAAAATAAAATTAAATAACATTTTCACATATTTGAGTCTATAAATATCGAATGAAACTATAGTTATATCGAAATGAAACTGTAGTTGTGTTCAACTGAAACTGCAGTGTATACAAAATGACACTGAATAACAGAGTTACTTTTTGCAAAAGGGTGCGAAACGGCGGAAATAAACACTGTTAATTTTCATTTAAAAAAAAAAAAAAAAAAAAAAGACGCGCGGTGCACAATCGATTATGCACCGCGGTGCATAATATAATTTGCCAATTGAGGAGGCTGGCGGTAAGGACTATTCAAGAATGGGCTGGCCAATCAACATTCCATAAAACTAACAATGAGGTTTCTTTTCAAAGCTACAATAATTATCGAATATCTACATACAATACATACAATACATACAATTCTAATAAGAGTCAATAATGTTAGGCCCTTAACTGGAATAAAAAAAAATGTCGGTCTTATTTTTTCTTAAAATGAATAGTTCATATTATTTAGATTTTAGTATTCTTTTAATGATTTTTCTTATTTACTTTCTATTATATTATTTTCTTCCCTTAGATAACTTAAATTCCGTTAGTATAAACTTTAGTAACGGAATATTCCGTTAACTATTTATTATTTTTAACTTATTAATTTATATAAGAAAGATCTTAGGTTCGAACCTCATCCCAATTAGAGTTGGCATAATTGTTAAACATATACTACGAATATTTTAAAATGTATTAAAATATATATATATATATATATATATATATATATATATATATATATATATATATATATATATATATATATATATATATATATATATATATATATATATATATATAAATAAAATATAAAATTTAACATAAACTTTGGTCAAATAATCCGACTAAATACATAACATTCAAAGTTAAAGCATCAAAGATTATAAATCAAGAACTTTAAAAATCATTTGATTTTTATGCATTTAAAAAAAAATTAAGTTAAGTTTTATTTTTTTTCGTTTAATTAATGTTCTTTTGATTATTTTTTTTGAAAGTCAACCTGGCGGTTGTATTTATAGAAGAGTTAAAATAGAGTCTGGTGGAACATTGTTCCAGTACATAGCAGTATTGAAACTAAGTGCTGAAGTAGCTAAAATATGAGCTAATAAATTCTGTAATCTAGGAATGTAAAGCACTGAACAATAATTAAAGGCAGACATATAGGTTCTGCAACTATCGATGGCATAACCTAAATGCGAGCGTAACGTGGGTGGTGGCCCAGATAAGTAGCACTGTAACTGTTGACAATCCGTATGAATCCGTATAGATAGCTCATTCCTCCTCTTAAGCCATGATAAAGCTTCTTTGCATGCCAAAGCCTCGGCCATGAGCGGTGAGTGGCAACCTGCTAACGGGGCGCTGAAGGCGGATATGTAGTGGCCATTGGCATCGAGGAGTACCGCACCAACAACCGCGACATTGGTTCCTCGATGATAACTTGCGTCCACATAACATTTGACGGGTGTCATCATCTCGCCAATCACGGATTCCGAAGCGGCAGCTTGCAGCGGCGGCAGTCCGTTCCCGGCAGGCTCGGCGTTCGGTCCCAGCGGCGGCAGTGGGTGCTGTTCGGCAGCGACGTGGTGGCTGGCAGTCCGTGGCTGTGACGGCAAGTGGCGGTGGTGAATATCCTTCCAAGCTTTCATTGTGGCAGCCGCCACTGACAATAATTTCGTTGGTGTTGGTAGGCAGGCATCCCAAACCGCTCCGTTTCTGGCCCTCCAAAGATGGTATAAAATTGCAGCTGCATAAACAATTCCATCAAAGTCTAGAACATTCAAGATTGCACTAAACCATTCATGGAAAATATTTGTGATAATATTGGGGATTGGAAGGTTGGATTTTGCCCAAATGGAGTGTGCATAGTCACACAAAACTAATGCATGCATGGTATCTTCATTCACATTTCCACACATGGCACACAATGGGTTAACATCCACTCTCTTTATAAGCAGATTGTTTGTGGTAGGAAGGATATCACAAATAGCTCTCCAC